CTCCACCCCCAAAGTCCTCAGATATTTCCGAATTTGGACTTGGCAACCCTAGGCCCCGGTCACACCATAGGAAAAGCCGGGGCGGAAGTGCGGCTTTTTAGAGCTGCAGCAAAAGAGAAGAACTCGCATATGCTCCCCAATGTGATCAGATGTGAGGGGGAAGCCAGGGACAGGAGAGCGAGGCGAGTCAGCTGCACATGTGTGCGCCTGCGCAGTTCAGTAGGGGGCCTCGCATGCTGCGGGAGACAGGCGTGTCGGCGATCACACGGCTGCCTGTGCCACGGATTTTCCAGTAGGTAGTAGTGTTTTGCGGGGGGTTTTTTTACTCCGCATCTTCAGCCGGAAGGGACGGGTTGGGGGCGGGTGCACGACACTTGCCAGATGTTGGCATTTGATCGTGCCGGTTTAATCCGCCCTCAATCTATCCGTTCTGCAGAGCAATTCCTCCCGTGTGACCAGGGCCTAGATATAGTTTGTCAGTTTTTATACCCTGCTTTCCTCTACCCTAAGGAGTCTCAAAGTGGCTTACAATCACCTTCCCTTCCTCTCCCCACAACACTCACCTTGTGAGGAAGGTGAGGCTGAGAGAGTTCTGAGAGAACTGTGACTGGCCCAAAATCACCCAGCAGGCTTCACATGGAGGAGTGGAGGAATCAAACCCAGTTCTCCAGATTAGAGTCCACTGCTCTTGACCACTATACCATGCTGGTAAAGGATATACCAGGTATAAGGTACAGGGGATAGACAAAAATAATAATATACTGTCACATGTCACTCTTCCTCTTCTCTCTTTAATAAAGCTAAAATTTATGAAGCAAGCATGCTTCACACATAAACCATCAAGGGCTTAGTGTAAACTGCTTATTATGTTTTGTAATTTGTTGTCTGCAACACATTAGCAACCCAGCAATAAATGCCCTTGCCAGTCTAAGCAAGTCTTTCTTTATACAACAAGATACCTGTTTCATATTGCTTTCTGTACAAAAATCCTAAATCTGGCCTACAAAATCTAAAGGTATGCCTACATGGGAGTTTTCCTTGCTTCCAAAGTGTTGTATATGTCAGATGTTTACGGGCTAACCCAACTGAGGCAACTGACTGGCTTCCATAATACCAAGTAAGTTGTCTGCATTCAGGGACCCTTGAGGAAAGGTTAAAAAGAACAACAAATAAGTTTTATTCTTCTCAAAAGGATTTAAGTTGTCAGAAGAAGAATTAACAGGTCACGCAGAAAGTAGTTCTTCAGTCCAGGCTGAAATAAAATATTACTTTCTTCCCAGGCTATAGTGTATACAAATTATTTGGATCGTTCACACAGCAAATTCCCCATGTATTTGAAGGAATGACTTGAACCAGATTTGACCTACTGACATTCAGGGCTTCTAATCTACTTCATTCCACCCTTGAGATAGGCTCATTTTATATTTTGTCTGCTCTAGATACTTTGCACAGCTGTAGAAATGCAAGAAAACAGCTGGTGGGGAGACTAAAGATGTAGGGAAGGTACATCCTTTAAAATATGGACAAAGGGATTAAGATGGGTAAGGAGAGAATTACTTTTCAGTTTCTCAGATAGGGATATTTTTCTGAAAAGATGTGCTTTCAAATGCAACTACAGCCATTTAGTTGAGTTTTACATTGCAAAACAAAAACTCAAATAACCAAGTGTGCCATATCTCCCCTGTGTAATGGATCTTTCAATGTTGTTGCACTAAATGGTGTTATTCAAGCATTCAGTATATTATTAGTCTTACAGATTGATATCCTTGCTTATTAGCCACTCAACTGCACACAAACTACAGTAATTCAAATCTAATAATGCCTGTAAAAATTTTCATTAATAATACAGCCAGTTATTAAGGCACTAGAATGTGGCCACGGACAACTTTAATTGGTTTTTTTTTAAGTTAGTGTAGAGTTATTGTGCTTGGTTAACCCAGCTCAGTGACTTTCAAAAAGAGAAACAAAAAGTTAACACAGCTTTGGATATGTGTGTTCAGACCAGTATATCTATGTACATTTTAAATACTCTAATCAGAGGAAAGCTCTTCTCTTCGAGAGAGTGACAGTGAGATATTGTCACATTCCTAATCATATACATGCAAAACAATACAAAATAAATACTGAACAGAAAATCCTTTCTATAACATCCTATCAAGCAGCTATTAATCTGAGCATATTTAAACTACTTGACTCTTCTAGAATGTATAGATTTGACAGCCTGCACTGTTTTGGCTAATCACGTAAAATTGCTAATTTCACTTATTCTAGAACAGGCTCAAATAATAGCTTTTCATATTATATGATGTCTGCATTCAGGATCATCACAGAAATGGGGGGGGGAATCCAAAGCATAATGTGTTCTTTCACCATCAGATTGTAACTAAGCCAGATTTCTGGGTCTTGAGAAAAAAGCATTTCTGGCTGTGCTGGACTGGACCCTGCCACAGGCACTGAAATTACACGGTGTAGTGATAGTAAAAACTACAGTGCAGTGGAAAAAGTAGATCCCTCAGTCCTGCTATAGAATGAATGGTCAGTTTTGCTTGCCACATAGCTTTTTAAAATATTGCAGTCTTTCAAACCCATAGCTGTTTCCTCAGAAAATTTAATATATTAATTCCAGAAAAATAAATACTTAGGCATCCCATACCAAAAAGTCTTTAAAAAAAAAAAGCACACAGCAAATCAAAATACACAATAGTCACAATTTTACACAGATAGTTCTCCAAACCCACAAAACTGGCATAAGAGCACCTAACTCTCTTGAATCGTGCTCAGTAACCTGGAATAGTCTGCACATTTAATTTTGTAGTAAACATTTTAGACACATTCGTAATCACATGGACCTTTACACAGCAAACCAGCAGTAAGCTGCAATGCTCTGGACTTAGTAGGTTTACTTATGAGTAAATATGGGCAGATTTGGACTTTAGCGGGACTAAGTTGCAACTAACTTTTACTGGATTGTGCCTTTTATGTGCCAAGTATATAATCGTTTTCATACACCCTACTTCTGAAAGCACCTATTACAGGGATATAGAATAGTTCCTTATAAGGTATCATTAATCACATATTTTCCTGGAAGAATTCTTCATGTAACCTTCAATAATCCATGCATTCTCTGTTTATTCCACTACTCAGCAAGGTACAAATGCTAGGATATGAGAAATCAATTGAAATTACCTTAACAACCAAATCAAATTTCTGGTGAAAATCCCTGTTTATTGGCTTGAGGAGCCTGAGCTCAGCTGTCGTCACATTCATACTGAAATACTGTGCATAATCCTCAGGGGTTCCTGTAAAAAGATAGTGAAATTTGAACAGGATAATTGAAACCAATGATCAGTAGGGGGGGAAAAGACAACTTTACTTTAAAATTGTATCTACTTCACTCATAAATAAAGGATCATAATGAATTCCACAGATTCAAAAACTGAAACACCTGCTTGGACATGCACACAAGCAATCATTCTATCATCTAGATGGCTTTCCTCCCGTTCTTCCTTTGTTATCACTTTTAATTAATTTGGGAGGCTTTGGGAGGCTTCTTTTTCCCATAGTAGGGAAATGTGGAAATGTCAGGGTGCCAATATTTTTAGTGCTTAGAACCAGATCAGCAGCTTTCATTTTGCTGCATTATTTTTACCCCCACAGCTATATATTCAAGTTTTGCCCCTTGCAACAAAAGCTATGCATGGCATTTCCAGCAGAATCTAGAAGACAGCACGTAAGAAAAGTGCAGGGGGGAAAAAACCCTTACTGAATTGTGCATACACATTTCAGCTTATATAAAATAAAGGATAACAACTCTGAATGGGAAATAAGAATAAAGATGGCACCTATCTGTATTGTAACAGGAAAAGAAATCTTGCTGTTTCTGCAGGAAACAAGTTGCTAGAACTATTTTCTTACAAGCATTACTTTTCCCACTGTATACACCATCTTTTCTGAGCTTTAACAATTATATTGTATGCTGTGCCTGTGTATAGTGAGCACCCATGCACAGAAGAGATGAATCCCTCCTCCTACTGCAGGCAAGAAAAGTGTTAGCTATTTTCACAGCTATATTTTGAAACTAGGGTCCCTCCATACAAAGTGGTACCATTATACCAAAAGGATATTCTTTACAGGGCACAAAATGATACTACAAATTGGTGAGATTTGATAGGTGATGGAACAGACTCTGAGCTCCATCCCATATTTTATTGCAAAATCATACCTAGGTGAAGCACCATTTCTGTAAGCAGTTTCAGGCATGCCAAAAATCCAACTTGATTTAGTTAAATATGTCTTATTCCTCCATGACAACTGTAATGGAAACACACCCATCAGATTTCCCCAGTCAGAAAGAAGAGAAGAGATTGGATTTATACTTCACCCTTCACAACCCGAAAAAGTCTCAGAGCGGCTTATAATCTCCTCTCCCTTCCCCTCCCCACAACAGACACCTTTTGAGGTAGGTGGGGCTGAGCGAGCCCTTTCAAGAACTGCTCATGAGAGAACAGCTCTGAAAGAACTTGTGACTGACCCAAGGTCACACCAGCAGCTGCATGTAGAGGACTGGGGAATCAAATCTGGTTCTCCCAGGTTAGAGTCCGCGCTCCTAACCACTACATCAAACTGGCTCTTGATGCATGGATTCTTGACACATACTCAACTTGTACATCTCTTAAGAAGGTAGAATGCTCAGGATATGCTTCTAACCTGATGCTGCTACAGTATCAGACAGGGGTCTTGCAAAGGCAAAAGCACAGAAGAGCAGGTGTCTTACTTGCTCAGACCAGCAATGTAACAGTACAAGTACAGTACTGCCCGAGAGCCAGTTTGGTGTAGTGGTTAAGAGCGCAGACTCTAATTTGGGAGAACCATGTTTGATTCCCCACTCCTTCACATGCAGTTGCTGGTGTGACCTTGGGTCAGTCACAAGTTTTCTCAGAGCTGTTCTCTCAGCCCCACCTACCTCACAGGCCCTGGTCGTTTCTGCACTAGACCTTAAATCCTGGTTCAACCCTGTCCCCAAACTTACATTCTACACTACACGCAAGTTCATCACTGTAATTATCTCAGGGTATTTTTACATTCGACACTACACTCGAGTTCACCCCTGTAATTATCCCGGAGAATTTTTTGTTTCCACATTACACTGAGGTCACCCCAGTTTCGCCCCACATTTTTCCTGGGATAAATGGATGCTGTTATAACCAGGGATAAATGCCAGGTATTGTGTCCCAAGTTGAACTCTGATAAAACCAGGGATGAGATCAAAGTGCGGAAAGGACCTTTGTTTCTGTTGTGGGTAGGGGAAGGGAAAGGAGATTGTAAGCCACTCTGAGACTCCTTCGGGTAGTGAAGGGCGGGGTATAAATCTAATTTCTTCTTCTTCTATATGGGTTGAGGAATATCATCTAGCCTATTGCTGTAAGGAGACTTCCTTGGCTGCTCTGGCTGATTTCTCTTCAGTTATTTATTTATTGGTTTGATTTATACCCCGCCCTCCCCGCTGCGCGGGCTCAGGGCAGCTTACAATCAAACATAGGCCAGTATCAAATATAAAACATTTTTAAAACTATTTTTAAACTATTCCTTCCTCTGTCGAGCTGGGTAGTAGCAGTCACAGAAATCTTGGTCTGAGATCTCTCAGTTAACCCCTTCTAGTCCCTCTGTGGACCCAAATCTAGACATGCAAAAAGGACTGGCAGAGAAATCAGGCAAAGAAGTTTCTTTATAGCCAGGGCCGGCCCAAAGTGTTTTTTTTCACACTAGGCGAGGATACCTTCTGGCGCTCCCCCCCCCATCCACCAATTTTCAAACATAAATGCATAGCTTCTCTGGTATGCCTTTGTGGTCTCCCATCCAAATACCGGCAAGGGCTGACCCTTCTTAGTTTCCACAGTCTGACCAGATCAGGCTCGCCGCGATATCTCCCGTCGGTCACAGAGCCGGGGGGCAAAGGGGAGGGTCTTCCCACCGTGGGGCCCCCTTTCTTTACCTTCTCCAACTGGAAGGGATTCTGGGCCAGGTTGAGGCCAATCACATGCCAGTGCCTGAGCAAGTCACTCAGTGGCGATGGGCCTCTGGGCTTTCTCTCCAGGAGGGGCAGGGAGGGAGGCCGCCTCCAGCTTGCTTCGTTGGCCTGCTTTCCTGCAACTCCTGGCACTCGTCTGCCTCCTCCAGCCCCCCATGGAGATCTCCTCGCTCGGCCCCATGAGCGCCGGAGAAAACAAGCCAGATGATTCCTGTCTCAGCACCGCACAACCAAGTTGGGTGCAAAAGCCAAGCCAAGCTCTACCTGCAGCAGGCAAGGGGCGCAGCAGGGCAGCCTCTCTACAGGGCGAAGAAGCCACTGGGGGCGGCAGCCGGCAGCGTGGGAAAGGGTGTGGTGGCGAGGAGCAAGCAGGATCGCGGGGGTGCGGCTACTCTGCCGCTATCAGGGCTACTTTTTAAAGGGAGCTCCACGGGGGGGGGTACGAGGGGACAGTTTGGCACCCCTGAGGGCCGGCCCACCCTAGGCGAGCCCCTAGTTGGCGAGCCGGCCCTGTTTACAGCATTAGCTCAGGAAGGATTGGAAGTTTGTGCTTCTGGGCAGCAACAACATGTGCAAAGTCTAGAATTTTGCTTCTGATGAGGCATGCAAGATAGAAAAGCAAAACCATGTCATTGAAAGTCAAGGCTTTTCAGCTTTAGCTGGTCATACAGCCAGTACAGATTAGAAAGGGGTTAATGAGGGGACATTATGGGAGAGCTAACTATGTAACTATGTAAGGGAGTGGTGGCGCAGGCTGTAAAAGCCTGCAAAAAGTAATCTATCTCCAAACAGCCATAAGGCTGTTCGAGTCCCACCGTGGCCGGGGTGAGCTCCCGGCCCTTGTCCCAGCTCCCACCCACCCTGCGGTTCGAAAGCCCTTAAAGGCAAGTAGATAAATGGGTACCCACTCCTAGGAGTGGGGGGCACCCTACCTCCAATGAATTGGAGGGCAGCAGAGGCGGCGGCTGGGTGGCTGAGCGGTGGCGGTGAACGGCGAGCGGCAATCCGGCAGAGAAATATGGTGGCAGGCCGGCGGCAAGCAGCGAGCGACTCAGGATGGTGATTGGTCCGGGCGACGTGGCAGCGTGATGACATAGCGCAGTCGGAGCCTGTGGGACGGAGACCAGCAGTTGCAGCCATCATGCTGCCACGCACCGTAAGGACCACCCCAGGAGTCGATGTGTGAGAGAGAGACCTCTGCCGAGACACCGTCGCCTGAATACAGCAAAAAGAACCCACCACGGAAGAACAACGTAAAGAAGAAGATCACGGCTGCTTAGGTGCCTGGTAGGCACTCACCCCTCCCCTTGCACTGTGGCCCTAGTCAGGTAATTTAAATGTCTATGTAAACCGCTCCGAGCCTTCGGGAAGGAGCGGTATATAAGTCAAATGTGTAATGTAATGTAATGTAATGTAACATAAGTTCAGAGGTCATTTCGGGGGGAACGCGGGGGAACGCAGTTCCCCCGGGTGAGTTGCAGGGGGCGGGGCACATGACAAAGCCCCGCCCCCTGCTTCCGGCTGCCCCGCTTCCAGCCCTCATTCAGCCAGGAGGAGGCAGGAGAAGAGGGAGGGTAAGTTGCTCCTCCCCGCCTCTCCCCACCCCTGCCTCGCACTCCCGCTGGCCTTGCAGGTCCACCACCGGGCCCCTGTCAGGGGGTGTGGCATATGCTAATGAGTTATGCTAATGAGTTCCCCTAGCTCTTTTTCTACGAAATGACCCCTGCATAAGTTACATTGATATCATACCTTTAATATTCACGAGTGACCCCCCCATGTGCAGAAGGTGGGGGAAGGGGTATTTTATAATTTTGTATTACCAGGTTTCCAAGTAAAAATGCCAAATAAAAATAAAAAAAGTTTAAAATCTGGAGATTTTGGAAGACTACATTATGAGATCCTGGACACCACTGCAGGTTGCCTAGACAATAAAAAACAACAACAGTCCTAAGGCCCCCTGTAAGAAGAGAAAAAGTAGAGGAAAAAAGTGTAACCAGCAATATTGGTTAAAGGAAACACAGGGAAGGTGGTAGTAGGGGGGACGAAAAGGAGGAGATGACAAGGATAGGGCAAAATGAGAGCCACAAAGAGTGTGTGGGGAGAGCTGGGCCCTGCACAGGAAAGGGCAACAAGGAGGGAGAACCAGGTGGGAGAGGGGGTGGCTAGGAAGAAAGACTGAGTGGGGGAACAAGCAAAGGGGAGAAAGAAAGTGGGTAGGGGAGCAAAGGGAACCAAAGCAAGAAGGGGGGACCAGGGTCCATCAGGGGTGGA